CGCGCATACCCGCCCATGCGAGCGCAGCATGTCGGTATCACGGTCTCGATCGGCATTGGCGGTATCATCTTTAACGTATCCAATAATCTCGTGCAGGGCATGGCCAGGTACGATGGCGTGCTCGGCCTCTGCAAGTTCTGGGGAGGATGGGTCCTGATGACGTTTGGCGCGAGCGTATTCTTGTCGTCGATTAACATGCGCCTGGTCCTGTTCTACCGCGTGTTTGTCACAGGCAACACGTACACCCGCTCAAAGTTCACCGTCCTCAACTTTTTCCGCCGCTACTGGCCACTCTTAGCCATGTGGTTGCCTGGTTTTATCTCGAGCATTGTCATTTCTTCACTCAAGGGCCCTCGCGGCGCCTGGCTGCTCGAGGACCACGGCCTGCGCGCCTGCGACTTTAGCGAGGGGTACCTGTACTGGATCTACGCCTACTTTGCCGCGCAGATCGTGCTCTCGTGGGTGCTGTACCTGAAGATGCGCAAGGTCGCCAAGGCATTCAACGGCTTCCGCATGGCGATTTGGACGCTGGTCATCTTTACCGCTACTCTGCTCATCAGCATGGTCATCAATATCATCGAGGGTTCGAACTACCCGTGGGGCCGCATCGCTATCGCCCTGTCTAACATGATCCTGCTCAACGGCTACTTGTGGCTCATCCTGGGCGTGCCAGTTGTCGGCCACCTCTTCTGGCGCGAGCAGACCATGCGCAACTTTATGAACAGCCTGCACAAGGACAGCCTCATTGCGCAGCAGACCCGAATGCACGGCATGCACACGCAGCTCTACGGCATGTCTGACAACGATGTGTTTGCCAACTCGGCCTATGGCGACGACTCTTGCATTGACAACGAAAACAATCCCGGGCACAAACCGGAATCTATCGCTACTAACCACTTTGCAGACCCTCCATGTATTGCTGCGACCTACAGACCGCCCAACTACTCGACCCCAGCGCCCATGATATCAAACTACAACCCCGCAAACTATTCCTTTGGCAATCCGGCGATTACATACACAACGAGGAACACGCATGTGCTGTAGTCTATCCACTAATCTATATTTATTATATCGCGCTATGCACTAATTGTTATGAATAATCTTAATGTTATCCGCCCTCAGCAATGTAAATACGTCGTACTATTGCAATATTCGCGGCAGCGCATCGGTCTCGGCAATCGCCGCCGCCCCTTTTTTGTAATATAGGCTTACGCTGGCATAAATTTTGTTGTCAATCCCAGCAACAAAAGTCCGCTGATTAGCTTAGATTCAGTTGGCTGAAACAGAAGATCTCGTTGTTTAGAGGTTATAACATTCGCCTTACTAGCGAAAGGTCGCCGTTTCGATCACGGCCGAGATCACAGTGTTTTCACTTTTTTTTTTCTTCTTCTTTTTGGTTTCTTTTCCTCAAAGGAGAGAAGGCTATAAGAGTGGTGTCGCTCCTCTCGTCATGTGGCTCTCTATTGCCTGTGACTGCAGGGCCCGCTACAAAGTAAAGTAAATGACAGGAGCACCCAATTTTACCTTTTTTATTCTCTCACCGGCTCTATTCCACTATATATATTTTTTTATTTGTTCACATTTTTTCACTGAGCTTATTGGTAATGTCCGACTCGTTTATCGCAACAGACAAAGACAGGCTTAGAAAGCTAATAACTAGGTTTCAAAAGGAGATCACCGACGCGACAATGGAGGCTAAGGGAGAGCTAGAAGGATGTCATGGGGATGAGTGTCAGTCATGGATAGACCACGCTGCACACCTGACTATTAACGTATGCGTGGTTCCAAGCACTGTCATTATGACCAGTGGGGATATCAAGGTGGCGATAGAGCTGCTCGATGAAAGCTGTCACTGCGCTCTTGTGTATGTCGGGCCGCAAGAGGAGGCGCAAGATGTTGCGCAATATTTTGGTAAGTGTAGGGTACTTTTATACTCGGGTGATAGTTCAAGCAATGTAGCGGGTTTTATGACGGCGCTAAAGAATATTGCGTCCAACGGTTACATTGATGCAGAGCAGTGGGTTATTGTCTAGCGACAGGAAACTGCCAACAAAGCACTATAAATACTTTCTTTCTTTCTTCTTGCCCAATATATACACTTGAAAAGGAGTAGCAAATATATACGCATCAATTTTTGTTCCGTATGTGCGAAAAAAAATAACCATTGCTAAATAAAAAAAAAGTGCATTGACGTATATTGCCAAGAAAGAAAAGGAAAAAAAAAAGAGATGAAAAAAAAGGGTAATGAAAGTGTTTTGTAAAAAAAAAAATGGTTAGTCGGTGTAAATCTTGGTTCCAGGGACAGCGCACAAAACCGCAGTGCTAAGAGCAGTCATGACGAGGGCGCCAATAAACCAGCGAATACTCCTAGCCCTAACCATTCTCGTAGCAGTCATATCGACAGACACACGAGTAGAAAACCAAGCTCTACGCCAACCGCCAAACTGCGATTTAACCGACCACTGTTTCTCACCACCACCACCGCCATTATTTTGCACAACACCAACTGCCGCCGAATCCCTGACCCCCGGCGACTGATACTTGCGCACAGCGGCCAGCAACAAATCGCAACCGCCAAACCCCACAGCAACATTCCACCAACCCACAAAAAGAGGCAAAACCGACCACACGCGACGAGCTTTTGGTTCCTCATCGAGCAAAATAAGCGCCAAAGGTAGGGCGAATCCTAGCCACAAACATATAAACGCCACTAGTACGCGTAATACACAGTGGTCGCGCGTTACGTTGCGCGATACGGCGTCGGCAACGAATATGGGGAAATAATATGTGTCTAGCACATCGTAGGCGTAAAGTAGGGCTTCGGAGAATAGCGCGGGATCGAGTGCTGCTCCGTCGTGGAGTAGCCTTTGCTCAATGTCTGTTAGTATCTCGGGTGGCCATGGCATATGGTAGTACAAGTGGTTGCGTGCAGCTCCGGCGCCCAGCGCTCCGCCGCCTGGTAGCCGCAAGTACCGCGGGGCGGGCATATCGGTAATCGGGGTATGCAAATGGTCGTGCGACATGGTCAGTGATGTGGGGGAAGCCAGACCGTCGCGCGAAACGTCTCGCTGGTTGGCTGCTGTCTCCACCGCACTGACATATACTGACTCGCTGGCTGCTACGCCGTAGCCCTGATGGTAGGCATCGTCCAGGTGCTCGCCTCCACCGCCACCCGGTTTTTGCGTCAGCATACGCCGCAGTGAGCCAATCTTCTTGGCCGCCACCCCGCCCGTGTTGCCACCAGTTCTCCTCCATCCAGTTTGCATGAGATTGGGGTCGAGCGCTGCGCGGAAGTAGCGGAGGAAAATCGTCTCCGCTGCCGTCTGGATCTGCATCGCCATACGCGTAGACTGCCGGTGGCTACGCCGGAACCCAGCAGCAGGCGGCAGTGCGTCATCCTCCTGGTCAGAGTCGCTGCGACCGCGGGATAGCGATTCAATGGTGGCGGTATGCGCGGCAGCACGACGTGTGGCGTCTACCGGAGTTCCGTCGACCGAGTCATGAAGCGGACGGTGGTGGATTGGAAGCACGTAGCTATCCTGACTGGCATAATGGCTACGAGCCTTGGCGTGACGCAAATCAGATTCATAGGCTAGACACATTTTCTCATGAGTACGTGCCGCCATATAAAACTCCAACCACCGTCTTGCCTGTGGCTGTCTAACCGAGCAATGCACAGCAAAGTCGCGCAACGCCAGAGGAGCCCTCGTCCTACGCGTCAAAACCTGGTCCAGGGAGGGAAGCCCGCCCGTCCGCAAATTGTGGTCTTGCATGTATGCCCAGTCAATAGGCACCGTGGCCTGACCCCCACCCGTGGTGGCGGCACTAATAGCTGCTTCGTCGGTGATTGCGCCTACGGCCATTTGCGTAAACGGCATTTGCTTTTCTTCACGCTCTAGCTCGTCAATGTTTAGCGGGTCGCGGACCCCCGTTGGCAGGCCCGAGGACATGCGCTGCCATGCCTGGGTTCCGAAAAAGGTTGTTAGTGGTGTCCGGTCCTCATCGTCATCGTCAGAGGACCGCCGACGTAGTGGTGGTGCACCACCACCACCACCAGCGGCGGATTGTCCTGAACTCAGTGACCGTCCTCGGAGGTCGCCCGAGCTGCGGTTGAAGGCTACGTGGTTGCTGGGTAGAGGGATGTGGTACATTGGATGGTTTGGGTCTTCTTGGTAGGCGCCATTATCATCATAGGGCGGTTTCTTTTTCTCAGATGGGTAGTTCATAAGGATGTGTGTGTGTCGTTATAACGATGAAAGAAGCAGGAGGGAGTGATGTTGGCTAAAGAGTATGCAAAGGAAAAAGAAAAAAAAAGGAAAGGAAAGGGAAAGGGAGAGGTCGATAAACAGAAAAGGACTTGTTTGGACGACGCGCGCATGGGTGGGCCGTGGTCCTGCTGTATTTCGAGACCAGCCACCATCCCCT